AGTTCCGACGTCTCAAAAAGGGCCATCCGCCTCACTCGCGATCCACACCGTCGGCACACGCACGTACCGCTCCTCACATCACGTCACGCTGCATCCTGCCCTGCAGCATCGCCAGCGCCTTTGCTTGTTTGAATCATCCTCAAGACTCTGCATTCCGCCCTCCCCCCTCCCCTCCCTCTCCCCCCCCCTCTCTCCCTCTCTTTCTCTCGACGCAAACGGAGGCGTACCCCTCACCATGGATACGCAGGCCGCCCCGGGCTCTGTCGCCCACAAGAAGCAGACTCTTCTGCAAAGCCTGACCCGGCAACTGAACAATCGAGATGACGCTATTGGTATGCTTTTGACCTTTATCCAACACATATGCCCCCCCCCCCCCCCTCTCCCCCTTCCCCCCATTCCTGCTTCGCCTCCTCTCTCCCTGCTTCTGGCGAGTCGCTCACCTTTTTTCCTCCTCGGGACGTCTGTTGCTCAGCCTCGTTGGAGGCCATGCTGGATGGAGTCCTGGATGCCGATCTCGATGCCACACTGGACTCCTATCTGTCGCAATTCTGGGACCCACGCGAGGTTTTGAACGATGCGGACATCTCCGGGGCTCTGCGTGCCGAGACACTCTTCTTCGGGCCGGGCCACGTTCAAATCCCCGACAATGGGAATATGGCCGAGGAGGAGGGCTTTGTTTTCCTTCCCGAAACTGATGACTCAGATGCCGAAGGAGGCCCCTTTGTCGAATTGGTAGGCTTTGACCGCGCCGCGCTTGTCCCGGAGCCCGCCGTGGAGCCCGCCGTTGTGCCCGTGGCTGAGCCTGCTGTGGAGCCTGTGGCTGAGCCTGCTGTGGAGCCTGTGGCTGAGCCTGCTGTAGAGCCTGTGGCTGGGCCTGTTGTGGCCGAGCCTGTGACTGAGCCTGTTGTGGCCGAGCCTGTGGCCGAGCCTGTTGAGGAGCCCGCGACTGAGCCCGTGGCTGAACCCGTCGTTGAGCCTGTCCCCGCTGTTATCCCTGCTCCTGAGCCCGTGGCTGAGCCTGCCGCTGAGCCCATTCCTGAGCCTGCTCCTGCTCCTGAGCCCGCACCAGTTCCTGAGCCCGTCGTGGAGCCTGTGGTTGAACCTGTGGCTGAGCCTGCCACTGAGCCCGCTGTTGCTCCTGCTCCTGAGCCCGCGCCCGCTCCTGAGCCCGCGCCCGCTCCTGAGCCCGC